AAAACAGTGTACAGTACATTATACAGCTTTCTGTTCTTGGCTAAGTGCTATAAAATGACAAATAGACCAGTATGTCCTGGAAAAGTCTTTAGTGCACAACAAAATTCTGATGTAGAAGTATAAATATACACTCAGTTTATTAGGATTTATTACAGGACCGTTTTAACTAGGTGAATAAGCTGGCCTGATTAATGGCTGCTGTACATTTAGTTTGATGCATTATTTTTTCAACATTCAGAAAGTCAATTCATTTATACATTTTAAAAAGCCATAACATTATCTTTTTCCAGCCTCTTAAATGTGACCATTTCGTATTGTATAATTTTGATAGAATGTCTTTTGAGTTTTGGTTGAACAAAACATGAATTCAAAGATGTTACCTTGGCCCTGGGAAAGTGTAACGGAAGTCGGCCATGTTTTTGTGTCATTTTAGAGAGATTTAGTTCAATCAGTTAAATCTTATGTATCAAGGATTCAATCAATTAAAAAAACAACTGAAAACTGCCAGTGGCAGCTATGTTGTGTTTTCAACTTCCCATTTGAACTCTGAAAGCTATAAATGCCCTTGAGCAAGTCAGCACGTCAGTAGTTTGAACAAATGTCTGTATGCATGTCATTAAAAGTTGTTACTCGATAACCAGAGGAACCCTGAACATGTAAGCTGAGTAACTTTGTGTTTAATTTGTGCTGTTGTCTTCCCCCAGTCGCGGTTGGCGGTGAACAGCGTCACAGCAGGAGACTACAGCCGGCCGCTCCGCATCTCCAACTTCATCAACGAGCTGGACTCAGGCTTCCGCCTGCTCAACCTGAAGAACGACCCGCTGCGGAAACGCTACGACGGCCTCAAGTATGACGTGAAGAAGATCGAGGAGGTGGTTTACGACCTGTCCATCCGCGGGCTGGCCAAGGAGCCCGAGGCTGGCGTGGACAAGTAGAGCTCGGAGAGACAGAGGAGGGCTGGCACCTCTCCACGGCTGCTGCACCTTACCCCACCTGGAAGGCAAGACCCAGGGATCTACCTGAGGCCCCAGCAGCAGATGGCAGACTGTGTGTGTGTGTGTGCATTTGAGTGTGTGTTTGTGCGGATGCATGCATGAGAAGTGTTTGAGATGGATGGCATTCTGTCGGTGACCGTGATGGAGTTGTTACCCTCGTTCAGAGATCAAAGGTTCAGTTTGTTGCTGGTTTTTGTAAATGTGTGTTCTCAGCTTCGTCTGATTCATGTGTTACTGTTTCACTGAATTGGTTTTGCAACTGTTCCATCTAATTTGCAAAAAAGTCAACTTCTTATTAAATTACAGTACATTGATGTTCAATTCATTGTAAGGCTGTGTATTGGCGAGAATCTGGTGATATGATGCGTATCACAATACAGGGGTTACAATTTAATATGTTGCAATGTATCATGATATATTGTGTTTTTTTTGTTTTTTAAAGCTAATGTAAGGAAGACAAAAAACTCCCCACCATATGCATACAAGCATAAAAACATTTAACACTATAGCCCTGTTTACAACACTGCTGTCCATAACGTGTTTTTGAGAATTGATACAATCTAACTAAATATTGCAGTGTGTAAGTGTATTGATTATTTTTTTTCCTTTCTTCTTTGTTGCACCCTTAATTCCTTCAAGAAGACAGCCCAGACAGCGTTCCAGTCATGCAGAGCTTATTTTTTGTCGATGTTTGTGTTTTATTTGCAAAATCCAAAAAAAAGAACACGAAATGTGTTTGTGTTGTTCAACGAGTTTTTGTCTGGTGGTATTTCGTAGGACTCTGAATTAATAATGTTAAAAAATGGAGGCATCCAAACAGACGTCCAGGAGCCTCATTTATGGAGGAAATATTTGATGCCATATCAGACGATTAAATCTTGAATCAACAACTCAGACTTTTACAGTATTCTTACCAGATTTTGATCTTTTCTGACTTTAATAAGGAATACGTTTTGATGATTCTTATAAATGAGGCTCCAGTAGAAGTAGAGCCAAAGAAATGACAAAGTTGCACTTCACATGATATAAAGCTACTTTTTGTTGTTTTTTTTAGTTTCTAACAGCAAGGAACCCTTGCAGAACAGTGCCAATGAATGTCTGTTGAGCCATTTGGGTGTTTTGGTTGTCAGGTGATAAAGCTTTCTCTGGAAATCCAGGAGCGAATACTAACTAGTCATAATGTCATGTACTGCATGTGATATGTTTACTGTTTTTTTTTTTCACTTTAGGAAATGTCTTGAAGGTTTGTTTCTGTAATCCACGCTTCTGTTTGCTTCTATACTGTAGTGGAGCTGGATTGTATTTTCTAGAAATAATTCACTGTCACTCTCTTCCATCTTGTGCTTTGTTCCCTGGAGTGATAGGTGCATTCCACTTGTACTGTGTGTATTCTTGTTTTTGAATCAGTTGTCCTTAAGATGCTTAAAAATGACTGTAAATATATTTCTACATTCTACATTTCGAGCTTCATAAGACTTTACAATTAAGCATATTGCACAGAAATATACAAGGAGCAAGGTCGTGTTTAAAATCTTTTAATATAATTCACAATATATTACATTGGGGAAATAATACATCAGGTCTTTTCAAATGCAAATGAGGAACACAAAAGAAACTGTATGACACTCAGCAGGCTTTGTTTTTTTACATTTTGAAAGGGTTCATCTGAAACCGCATCCTCCGACAGCACAACAGTATTGGTGTGGAGTTGAGCAGCCCCGCCCTCCAAAACACAGTGTTTCGCTACCTCTTTTTTAGTGCTACTTCATAGCAAAGATAAAACAGCATCTGTCTTAAATAGTGGTTTTGGTTTGATGACCCGAAATTGACTGAAATCAGCTTCAGTCAACCTGGTTTCTTCTAATATAAAGAACTGTGAATAAACAAGGCCGTGTAACATGTCTTACCAGCAGTTATACTGGAGAGCTTTCTATTACAGAATAAAGTGCATTAAACAAAATAAAGCCTTCATAAATTAAAAAAACACTAAAATAAAAGAGAGAGGATCAGGTGATCACATATTATCAGCAGCCAGTGACTGTCAGAGGAATATTTATATTGCCTGTAAAACTGATTCAATCAAGTGCCAACAGAGGGCAGTCTAGTCTGTATCTCAGAGATGAATGCTACTGTGACAGGTTGCAAATATTTCAGTACGTTTTAGCTTAACAGTAATCAAGTACCAAGGCACAACAGCTCATCGCTAGGTCACATAATAATAACACAGTTAAAACCGTGTCATGACAAGATGGTTGGGATGATTTTTTTGAGGCGAGTTTGACAAGTAACCAGAGTTTTTCAGCCTTTATGCCAAAATGTACCCCAACAATGGGAGAGATTTCCTGTTACAAAAACAGCATATTCTTGCAACCTACAGTCCTGAAATGATAAGTCAACAAGTTATTTGTTTGACGCAAAGTGGATCAATTAACTGTTTGTCGTTTATTTATTTAAAACATTTGCAGTTTTTTCAAATGTTGCTCTTACCTTTATAAAACTCTACTTTGGGTCTGGGAATTTGAGATTGAGGCCATTTCCCAACATTTTGTAGACCGAATGATTAATCAGATGAATAGACTGAATGTATATAATTGATTGTTGCAGCCCTATAAATAGATCAAACAAATATCAGCACACCTGTCCCTTGGCCAGGTCTGACACGAGGTCCTGAACCTAAGGTTGAAAAACTCTGGACTTAACACACAGTGGAGGAAATTGCAGTGGTTGACTTTACCTATTAAACATGATGTTACCACAAAGGAGATTGACTAGACTTCTCACAAACTGCTTTCATGGCACTAAGATTATCTTAATTCCAAGGATTGACCAGAACAGCGCTCATTTAAGCAGGATGAACCCCTGAATGCCAAAGGATATCTTGGGAAATTAAATGCATATACAGTAGCTACTTCTTTTGAAACTGGCAGAGATTATTGCTGTTACGTGAGTTCTCATTTAAACACAGTGATACAGGAGGTCTGTTCAGCCTGCAATAAGAGGCTCTGCTCAACTGCATCTCTGGCAGTGAAAGTTGCTCTACCGCCGACATACAGTAGAGGGCGGCACACAGACAGGAGAGGGCAGTGATGACAAACAGGAACCACTGAACAAAAGCTCTTGACCACATCTCTACCGCTTCATACCAAAAACAAATGTCCCCCCCCTCCCCCACACACCATCTTGTATAAAAATGACATTACAATTTTTCTTTTTGCAGTCAGTCATGATCAGCCATGCTTTTCAACAGACACACCTTATTTACTGAAAACTCAGCTCTCTTTCTGCAAGAGCAAACAGTCTTTACAATCAAGGCTGACAAGCACAGCCCAAGTTTTTTGGTTGTCCAATAATCTGATTTCTTTTTTACGACTTAAATCTTCACATGTAATTTCATGACAGTATGGTGCACTTATAGCTTTGTAAGAAAAAAGTGCCATATCTTTCTCTTACCCTTGTGAGGCTTTGAGAAAGATTTTTTTGAACTGAAATTTACTGAAGTTATAACAGTGGCGTCACTCAAATGCTTCTTGTTGTCAGTTTATTTTTGCTGTAGAAGGATTCAGATTATTTACAGTGTAATAACGTTGGGGGATGGTTAGTCTCAGGAGCGGCTCTGGTTTGTGTTGATCATGATGTTGGGCAAAGCGTTGCGTCTTTTCCTCCAGGTGCCCAAGTCTCGAGCGTATCTCTTAATCTGGTGGAACCACTGCTGGGTGCGAGATTTGTCCGAGGCACGGAAAACGAAAGACTCTCGCCGAATATCGAGCACCTCGAATGTGTCCTCGCAGTCTGGATCCGTCGACACCACACAGTTTCCCAGACGGATGGGCTCTCTGAGCACTGTGAACTTCCCGCTGCTCTTGTCCTTGATTAGAACCAGCACTCCATCTCGAATGCCATCTCCACCACCCTCCCCCTGATCCCCCCGTGCCCCCAGGTCAGTGCCTTGTCCTGGAGCTTCACCGGCCCGCTGTGTCCTCACCATCAGCAGACTCTGGACATTTTGGAACTTGAGGGCCTTGCTGCCCTTCCTCAGCCACTGACCATCTGCTGGCTGGGACAACTGAAGGGGTCCCTCCATGACGAATCGTGTGTTTTCTCTCGCCCAGCCCACTGTCTTCATCGACACCTCTCGCATTTCAATGTTGATGACCTCCCGATTTTTGCGGCTGTCGCGGCGGAACGAGCGGAGGGACCATGTGACACCATTCCCCTCCTGCTTGGTCTTCATGTTGATGTGCTCCAGATGGGATTCCACCCGACTCTTGGCCTCACGGAGACGTGCATAGTCAGGGTGACATTCAGGGGTGACCTTAATGATTCGGCTCAGTAGAAGCGGGTATTTAGTCACGCGCTGGAGGGGCGCCATGAGGAAGGAACGCAAGTTCATGCGACGCAGTGCTGTGTTGTCATTCTGGGAAACATCCAGGAAGATTCTGAAAAGACAGACGAGAAAATTAAGTTGAAAACAGAGATGTCTGATGTACTGGGAAAACTCTTAAAACGTTGATTAATGGGAATCACAGGACAGCCTGACTCATGGATGAGCTGTGGTTCTGTCTAAAAATATGAATCAATGCAGCTCTAGCCTCAAAATAGAACTTCTTCTGAATAAGTGATAACCCGCTGTCTTTTCCATTAAGAATAATAAGGAACAGCCGTGGCAGGAACTAGAGAAAGCTCCCAGAGTAACTTTTCCATCACACAGACTAACTGGAAGAAGGACCTTTGTACTCTGTTTGTACCTGAGCAGCTCTTTCTCCTTCTCCAGTGTGTTGAGCATGTTGACCGAGGTGGACTGCTGCAGGCAGTAGGTCTGGAAGGCGGGCAGCATGTTGACAAACTCCAGGAAGATCTCTCCTATGTACACTGTCAGCAGATCTTCATCTCCCTGAGGTCAAACCACGTGAGACAAAATGGTCATGTCAATATTGAACTAATTAACATTTTGCACTAACAATTTGTCTTAACAAGTCATAGTTGTCCATCATTGTGTCTAAAAGATCTGCTGGTACAGCAACACCAATAAATATTGTGTGAATGCAGAATATGTACAGAGTTTATATTTGGCCTGTATATTTTTTACCACAAGGATACACCAAGCTCAGCCCAGCGTAAGAGTTTAGCCTCAGCCGCAGAGGCTACAGATTAATGTTGGGATGGAGGCTTTCAGGTGAACAGTGAAGCAGCAGGCATGACAAAGCAAAAGAGTGACCAACATATTGCAAAGGGGTGCATTGGAGATACTGTGTTACAGCTAGAAGAGTGTCATGTGAGAGCAACAGCCCCATTCTAGAAATTAGTGTCAGTGTTTGGTTAAAAATGGGTAAATCATGGTACTAGAATCAAGAAAAATGACTGGTTGACAATCTCAGCCACAATGGCCATTTAGTAGCTGTTCTGGAGCTTTAAAGTTCGTTCTGACCTTGGACAAACGCTGCTTGCTGAGCAGCTCCCGAACGCAGCTACTGTGATGTTTGAGTCAGAATTCTGTTCTGGCGGTTGAAAGATAAAATGTTCGAATCTCAATTTTTACGGCCAAAATTACAGAAAAGCTTTAAAGTGCTCAATACAAGCAATTTTCACAAGTAACAACTGGCGCGAACGTCCATCTTGCATACGTGACTTATTTTGATACCAAACTGAA